TTCGTGTATACTGCTCAGGAAGCAGCAAAATTGTTTGAAGTATTCTTATTCTCTAATCCCTTGAAGTATTTTAATTGTTTGATCAATAAAATTTTTTTCAAAAAAAAAAAAAAAGTAATAATAAAATTACATACGTTACATGCCCGTTGAGTTCATGAGTTTTGAAGTGGCTGAGAGTGGTTGGGAGTGGTTGGGAGTGATTGGGAGTTGTTGAGAGTTGTTAGCGGAAATCCAATTTAGACAGATGAATTTAAGTCGGAGAAAATAGATTTTTAGTACTTTATTTTGACTTCACTTACTGTCAGAAGACAATATGTATTTTTTTTATTATTTCATAAGGACTTTTATAGTTTATTAAAATGGATGATTTATGCAAATTAGTGTCAATCAACTTCTCTACTATATTTTATGAAGGGATATGTTAGTATATCCCTTATTCATGAGAATTAAGCGTCTAATTTGTTTATTAGTGTTCGCTTATGGATTTAAAGTTGTTAAATTTAAAGGTAGCTTTAGCTGGTTTAGGGTAGTTACGAGGTGGTCGTCATGTTTTTTCAATAAGTTTCGATTTGTGTCTTCTTATACACTTATCAACTTTTGCAACTATCAGTTTTCTGTGATGATGCGTATTATTCATGTAATACGAAGAATACTCCAGTATTCTTCTCAACGCCGATTTGTCAGATTGCCCAGAAAGTGAATTACGTATGTACTATTGCGACTGTGTTCAAATCTCACTGGAGTATAATATGCAAAAACAAGCTTTGAAGAAATGCTTGGTCAATAAAGTCAGTATAGATTGGTCAATATAGTCAATATAATCAGATTTACTTAACCTGACCTGTGCAGCTGTGCAGACCTCTCTGAAACATACCAAGTCAGAATCTTAATTCAAATTTATTGCACATATTTAAGACTCCTCTTCTTTAATATGTATGTTTAAACATTTAAAATATAAAACTTTTGCACAAAAGTTGAATACGCCCGTCTTTATATCTAAATGAGCATTGGACATAAGTCCGTCACACCAGCGAACGATTCTTAAGTTTGAACGTAAATTTACTCCGAAAGTATATATATGTATTATAATATATTAAGCACAATTATACATGGTCTACAATTTTGTGCATTTGTTCATATATGACATATAAGGCTTTCTCAGCGCAAAATACTAGAAAGATTAATTGAGAACAAGCTTACTACGGCTGCGCAACGAATCCTTAGGAACTTTAGGTGAAATTAGTCATTGATTCACAGCCAAACCTAAATCTTGACTAATAAGACGTACTTACCAACCTGTTAAATATTTTTAAATAAGTAAATTTTTTCAACTGTATTTACCTGAAAAAAGTAAAAAAGAAGAATGTGTTAAAAAAATATAAATATTTATATATGTAAATGGATATATATGTTTCAGATATATGTGATAAATTTTCTATATAGAACTTTTATGAAATTAATTCTTTCACATCTTTTGCGCACAACACAACATTTTTAATTTATCTGATTACATTAAATGAATATTCAATCGTAAGTCCAACATCAACCTTCAGGGATAAAATTTGGGCCTAAGGGTCTTAGTGCGAAAAATTCCACGAAATTTTTTTGGTACTATTAAA